ACCGCCTGCACCGCCCCGCCCCGCCGCCGCCATTTTAAAGTGGTCCGGAAATGAGTCGCTATGACTGGGCAGTGGGCCGCCATCTCGGTTCCCGGGCGCGGGGCAGCGCCGATCGGCGGCGTGGCTTAGGTGGGAGGAGGAAGGGCGGAACGAGCGCGGGAGGGACGCGGGAGGCGGTGCCGTCATCTTGGGAGTGGCAAAGCCGAGGTCTCCATCTTGTGGTCGGGGGGAGTCCCGGGCGCAGAGACTGCTTGCTTTTGTGGATATCGGGCGCTAACTGCGAGCGTAGAGCGCCCACGCATCCCAGAGGGGTGGATGAATGAGGGGGTGTCTTGGTCAGTCATCTTGTTTGGTAAGACATTTGCACTGAAGTGTACCATGAGCTGGCGTTAGCAAGGGTCTGACATGATCGCAGAGGCTGCTTTGGTGATCGTTTTGCGGAAGTTTTTTGTTTTGGACCTTCCGGACACCGTACTGGAAGAACGACGCCCCCGCATTCCCTGCCCCAGCTTTGTAAGGCTTGTTCAGTCCACTTCGTAGAGGCTATTAGGACCTATGAGGATCCCAGAAACGTGCTGTTAGGGGTAAGGGATGGGCCGGGCGACCTTCCTGGGAAGAAGCAGCAGGGCACGGCCCGGGTAGGTGCTTGCGCCCCCCAGGGGGAGGAGTAAGGAAGCTCCCCGGCCCGCTGGCTGCTGAGATACACGTTCGGGCTCAGAAATTTCCCTGGCTACCTGGCTGTCCCTTTCCTTGTGGGCATCCCCACCAAGAGCCGAGTCCTTCCTTCCTTGGGCATTAGACATAGTCCTGCGTCTCCCCAAACTGCAGTTACATTATCGACAGGGAAGGAGGTTTTTCCCTCGCTTAACCATACCTGGGGAGAGGGTTACCCTCAGCTGGGTCATGGCTGGGCGTGTGTTGGAGAAGGCACGCCCGTCGCACCCAGCGAGAAAGGAGCCAGTCTGTGGCTTGGACGCCAAACATCTCTGCAAGTGCCAGGCCTGCGATTTGAAGGCGGGCAGAGTCGGGAAGTTGCTGCTTTTGCCCCGAATCAAGCCTTAGGCAATGGCGGGCCAGCTGGAGGCTGACCGCCCAGGCTGTGGGCTCAGGCAGGCTAGGCCTAAGTCCATCGCCAAGTGTGTGTGGCTTTGGGCAATTAACCTCACTGAGGCCGGCTTTTCTTTTTCTCCTCCCCAAGACGAGAGAATGGCGGTTTGTAAAGCTTTCTTGTGTTAGCCCTCGATAGATGTTTCCGTGTTGTTCCCGTGATTTTTCCACCACTTGTCTCTGTTTGTCCTCCTGTTGTGGCTTGCGTGTTGCTGGGATGCTGGCAGCTTTGCCGCCTGTATTTCTTGCTCCTCAGGAGAGCCCTCTGAAGCACCTTCCTCTCACGTGACTTTCCCCCACTGCACCTCAATGCAGCCCCTGTCCCTGGGTTCCCTGCTGGCTTCCTGGGCATCTGCCTGACCTGACACAGCAGAACTGCCCCATAGGGTTTCCAAGGATTTGATTGCCGACCTTTCGGTTAGCAGCCGAACGCTAAACCACTGCGCCACCAGGGCTCCTCCATCATCACGGGCAAGATCTACATTTTCTATTAGCGTAACAGATTACCACAAACATAGCAGCTTCAGACCACCAATTTATTAAATCACAGTTCTGTCAGTTAGCAGTCCTACAGGTTCCCTGCTCAGGGTCTCCTCAGGCCAAAATCAGGGGACTGGCCAGGCTGGGCTCCAGGGAAGCATCCGCCTCCAGGCTCATTCAGATTGTTGCAGAAGTCAGTTCCAGTGGTTTTAGGACTGAGGTCTTCTCCGTGTGGGCCGTCTGCCAGGGGCCACTCTTCAGCCCTGGCGGAAGTCACAGTTCCTTCCGCGTGGCCCCCTCCATCTTCAAAGCCAGCAAGAGACTCTCCCGGCGTTGAATCCCTCTCACGCTTCAAATCTTTCTGATGTCCTCCAGAAAAATGGGCAGACAGGGCACCAGCTGGTTTGCCTGTCTCTGGGTGCCCAGTGCCAGCCCCAGCGAGAATGAGGAGGGTAAATACCAGCAAGGAGGGGGAGGAAGGGAGTGTGAGCCCCGTGGTTACAGGCGTGATCCCGGGAGGAGGGTTGGCAGGGGCAGACTCCAGGAGCCCCAAGGAGGAGAGGAGGTAGGAGGATGCACAGACGGATGGGCAGACATATGAACGGGTGGTGTGGCTGCAGAAGACCTCTTAGATGTATTAGGTCTCTCAGCTATTAGCCGGAAGGGGCAGGTGGTGGGTGTGCAGAAGGACCAGGAAGCTGAGGGACCCCAGCGTCTGGCTCCAGGTCAGTGTTAATGCATCAGAGGCTGAGGCGAGCCTGAATCCAGGGGCTGTAAGTGGCCACATCGGTGTAGACACCGGGGCGGTTGGGCAGGGCACAGCCCTTACCCCAGCTCACCACGCCCACCAGGACCCAGCGCCCAGAATGCACGCAGGTCAGGGGTTCCCCGGAGTCCCCCTGCAGGAGAAGGGGGCGCTTAGGTCTCAGCCTTCCCGGGACTTGAGATCACAGTCTCCGGGCTCCAGCCCCCGAGGTGGGGGCCTTTGGGTTTAGGGGCCGGGACACAGAGCCTGGAGGCGTGAACTCCTGGGTCCCGGGTTCTAGGAAGGCAGGGTGCGGCGCGCAGGGGCTTCGCCTCCCGGAGACCAGCCCACCTGGCAGGCGTCCTTGTGGCCCTCCAGGTAGCCCGCACACAGGTTCCCAGGCTGCACGATGCGCTCCCCGCGTGGCACGTCGGCGCCCACGTGGTAGAGGCGGTCACAGGCCCGCGCGCCCAGCAGCGGCACCCTCACTCCCTGCAGGGGTCGCCACTCCGGAAGTGGAACTGGGGGGAGAAGGGGGAGCCAGGAGGGGCTAGGGGAGCATGGGGAGGCGGGAGAAGCCCTGCTGACTCGCTGTCCGATTGGAAGGGATGCCGGGCTCCGGGCACTCGTGCTGGGTCCTGATGGGGGTTCGGGGGCTGGGATTCTGGTCAGATGGAAGTGAGCGGGGAGGCACATGGTAGGGCCCGCCCGCCCCTTCCCGATCTCCCCGCGCCTGCCCGGCCACGCCTAACCTCCGGGCCTCAGGCTGCCCCAGCCGGTAACCCAGCACGGGGTGCCGGGCGCCGGGCGGGAGCCGGGTGCGGGCAGGCAGATGGGCTGGACGCGGGCGCCCAGGGCCACCGGGCGGCTCAGCTTCAACAGCGCCAGGTCGCCGCGGGCCCCGTCCTCGGAGTAGTCCGGAGGCAGCAGCACCCGGCGCACCGGCGCCAAGAGCGCGTGAGGCGAGGTGGGGCCCAGGCGCAGCGCCCCAAGGCGCACGCGGTACTCGGACGGCAGCGCCCGCCTGCGCAACAGGGGAGACGGCGACTGACAGCACCCCTTCCTCGACCCTCGGACCCCCTACCGCCACCCCGCGCCTCCGCCAGGCGGCGCCCCCTCCCCCGGCACGAGAGCCCTGGGAAGAAGTGGCGCGCCCTCTGCCGACCTGGGCAAGCAGTGCGCCGCCGTCAGCACCCACTGCGGGGCCACCAGCGAGCCCCCGCACACGTGCGCCCCGCGGCGCTGGATGCTTGCCTGCCACGGCCACTCTCCGTCCCGGGCGTCCTGCCCACCCCCCCACGATCCGGCTGGACACGTGGGGCTGCCCGCAGGCTGCAAGGGACAAGTGGGGGCAAGGGTGGGCGGAGGACTGGGGGCCTGGGCGGCAGTGGGGAGTGGGGCGGCCAGGTGCTGGTTTCCTTACCTGCAGACTCCGGGGTCCCCGCAACTCCTGGAGGAGGCGGCGGGACGGCTGGATTATGGGTTCAGTGTCAGGTGTCGCGTGGGGCGGGGGAGGTTAGAGATTAGGAAGGAGAGTGCAGTGACCTCATGCCAGGCTTTGTGCAATGGCTTTAACCCTTCCCAGAACCCTTATGTCCACTACACAGATGCGCACATCGGGTCTGGAGAGCCCAGGATCAGTGGCAGAGAGGGGTTGAACCCCTGGAACCAAGAGTAGATGCCCCAGAGTCCGCTAGGGGAGCCAGGCCCAGAAAGAAGTGGAGATGGGAGACCTGGGGGCCAGGGTCCCTGTGGCCAGCCCACCCAGTCCCTGCCTGCACTCACCCAGCAGCAGTAGGAGCAGGATACCCCCCTCATTCTGTCTTCAGGGCTGATCTGAGGAAAGGTGGCACTGCCAGGGCTGGGACTGGTCTGGCGCCAGCAGGGGGAGGAGGGAGGGTCCCGGCCCCGGCCCCAGTCCCCGGAGCCTGTTTGCCCTCGGCTCCTGGTTGGTCCTGCACTTCCCTCTGTGGCCTAGGCCCTGTGCCCTTCCCTCGGCCCAGGCCCCTGCGCAGGCCCCGGGTGACCACGCTGGTTAAATGTGCAGCCTCCTCACCGCCTTATACCCCCCACACCCCTACCCTCTCTACCCCACACTCTGTTCCCACTGCCTCACAGCTGGCCCTAGTCCTGAGGTAGCCCCTGCCCCTGGCAGCCCCCGCGTCCTGCTCTCGCCCTCTGGCCTGGTGTACTCCTAGCTGAGTGGGTGAGGGGAGGGCCTGGAGGTTAAGGGGCCAGGAGGGGGCGGAGGCCCGGCCAGGGGTAATTACAGGGACCAGGGCTGGGCTGCGGCTTCACCTGTCCAGCCTGGAACAAAGATGCTTTGAGCAGAGTTTCCGGGCGACTGGAAAGGGATGCCTGGGTGTCTCGAAGGAAGCCCGGCTGGGGCCAAGGTGCTGGGAGGGGGGCGGGAGCCTGGTGGCTGCGTTCAGGCCAGAAAGCTCTGGGGAGGATCCCTGGCAGCTCATCTCTGAAACTGAGCCCGGCTCCTTGCTCGCTGGGTCTCTGGGGCTTCTGAGCGCTGTTGTTCTTTGCAGAAAGCGCCATGCTGAGCCCGGACCCCCATTTGACCCACGACAGGAGCAGACTTGACCTCGGGGGACAGTCCTAGACAAAGCGAGGCTGCTGGCATAGGGTGGGGCCCGGAGACTTGGGGACAGGGGCGGGACTGCCCTTCTCTCTTGGGGCCAGTGGAGGGCTGGGCCTGAACAGTGCCCTGCACACTTGGTCCCTTCTCAGGTCACACCTCTCGTCCCTGGGTTCTGCACACGTGTGTCCACTGCCCAGAAGGCCCTCGTGGCCCTCTTCTCCGTCGCCTCCTCTGCGGGGGCCCCAGAGCTCCCTGCCCAGGTTGGACCTCCTCGTGGTTTGATGTGTGTTGGAGGAGGTTCGGGCACGTCTGTCTGCTTCCCCTCCACAAGGCAGGAGAGGCCGTGTCCCCATGCCCGGAACAGAGCCCAGCGCAGAGTGGCCCCCAAGGTGTGTTTGGGAGGGAGTGATTGGGGGGGTTAGCCCATTCTGGCAGCAGGGAGCACGCTGGGGGCCTGGAGGAGGCTCAGACCTCGCCTTGATGCAGATGGAGGCGGGAGATTCCGGCACCACTTTCGCTGTCCACCTCTGTCCACCAGTCGCGAGGCTGCAGCCTCCAGTGTGGGGAAGCAGTTGGCTCCCTTTATGACTCAGTTTCCCACCTCATAGGTTATCATGAGGATGACTGAGCCAACCATGCAGCGCTGTGAGCGCAGTGCCTGGCACGCCGGAAACGCTATCAGAGTCGTTTTAAGACTAAAAGAAACTTACTCTCGATCTCCACAAGGCTCCTAAGCCTGACAGCACCTCAGGTTTTCCTGCCCTGAGGGGTTTTGGAAGGAGCCCTGGTGGTGCAATGGTTAAGAACTTGGCTTGCTAACTGAAAGATTGGCGGTTCGAACCTACCAGCCGCTCCACAGGAGAAAGACCTGGCGATCTGCTCCCATAGTGAGTACAGCCTAGAAAACCCTATGGGGCAGTTCTCCATCATATGGGGTTGCTATGAGTCGGAATCAGCTGGAGGCACCCAACAGCAATAGGGGGCTTGGCGGGGGCAGGGCCAGGGGGGCAGTGTCCCCCTTGGGGCAGGGTGGAGGCAGCTTCCGGGGGTGGCCGGTGAAGAGACAGCTAGAGGGACTGGTGAGAGTGAGGTCGACAAGGGACACGAACAGGCTCACTGCCCCTGTGACTTTGGGAGCCGGCCAGAGAGCTGGAATTTGGGGTGAAGGGGGAAGGCTGGAGAACCTGAGGCCACCCGGGGGCATGGGTTAAGGAAACGGATTCTCACTGAGAAATTAGTCATGGGGGGTGGGAGGTACCAGTTGGTTGAATAATGGACATTTCAACCTTGGGGGAGCAGAAAATGTCCCCCTGGAAGGAGCCCCCAAATCCAACGCCTGTCTAAATCCTTGGACTGAGAAGCTGAGGCACAGACCCCAGCTGGGCCCACCTCCTCTTTAGCCCCACTCTTGATTCCCACCATGGAAATAGCCCCCTGGGAAAATGTCTCCTATTCACCCTGGGGGTGCCTGGCTCACAATAACCCTCTCAGTGCCACAGGTGGATCGTCGCCCCCGTCTTCTGATGCCAGACCTGCCCCAAACGGGGGCCGTCATACCCCCATGCCTCCCAGGTGATTGGTCAAGAGGTGACATATGACCCAAGCCCAGCCAATCAGAATCCTTCCCTGGGATTTTCACACTGGAGGAGGGAAAGAGAACCTCTGTGGTCATAGGTTTGGGGCAGCCGTGGCCGTGGCTGCTAGCAAGGACTCTCACCCGGCCTGCGAGCCTAGAACCTTCGGGGCTGAGAAAGAGGGCCTTGTGTTGGGGTTTCTCATTCCAGTCGTTCCTGGGCTGCTCTTTGCCCTCTAACACATCACCTTTCCTTTGCTCATGCTACTTCTAGGGGATTCTGTTGCTTGTAACCACAGTCTCTAGTCCAGCAGAAGTGGCAAGGATGAAAACAGAACAAAACAAAAATCTTTATTAACAGCCCCCGCTGGCCAAGGAGCACAGTCCAACAAAGGTGGAAGGAACGTGTCCCTGCCCCACGCCCCACCCAGCTCGGTCTCAGTGTGGCAGTGCCCAGCCTATGGTCCCAACCCCAGGACACAGGACTCATCCCCAGCCTTGTCCTTAGCCAGACTCTGGTGGCAGCCCAGGAGACCCAGCAGCGGGGGGAGGTGGGGGGTGTGGCCTGGGGCTGCCTTTGCTGGCCTTGCAGTAGACCGCGGTCCCCAGTTGGGACAGCACCAAAGCGCCAGCAATGGGAAGCCATGGGGAGGCAGGCAGGTGGTGTCAGGACTTGTTGGAGCGGATTTTAGGATCCTCCAGGGGCAGAGTGGCTGGGAGGAAGGAGAGAGAAGCAGGAGAGCAGGTGGGGGCAGAGATGGGGGGAGGGAGACAGTGCACAGCGGAACACTGCCAGGTTGGAGGCTGCCCTCCCCAACTGCACGCGCTCCCTGGTGTGGGGCGCCAGAGTAGAGGTGTATCTAAGGTATGGCAGGTGCCCTGGGCACCACTTGAAGTGGGGGGATGCACCACTGAGCTGTTTCTATGACCCCCGATGTCCTTCCTCAAGCATGGTAGACACAGAGGCCCAGCACAGGGCGGGGAGGCAGAGGGGGGCATTTGCCTCCAGGCTGCAAGTCCAAGGGGGCGCCAGACAAGGCGCGGAATGACGTTCTGAGGCGCCATAAATATGGAAGTTACCTGACTGACATAGCTGGACAAAAGGGGGCAGGGCGTTCCTGCTGCTGTGTCCCCGCCATCGACGTCTATTCATCTTGAAATTGGGAAGGGGGCACAACTTCGAGACTGTGCCTGGTTGCTCCTTACCCTAGCTAGGCCCCTGTGGCTGAGCCCTCTCCAGCCGCTCCCCCAGGATCCAGGGATGGCAGGGAGGTGGAGACAGGCTGCTAAGGGTAGATGCATTTTCTAGGAGATGAGGGGAGGGGTCTAGATAGAGCCTCTCACCACCCCTGCCCACCCCCACCCCCCCAACAGCCCACAGATTTAAACATCTGGGGCTCCTGTGGAAATGCAGGAGCGTTTAGTGGGTTGGAGGAACCACTAGTACTCTCTGGGACTGTGCCCTGGCCACCTCACGGACACTGTGGGTGCTATCCCACCACCCTCACGGCTTCACGGGGCCTGCTCCCGCTCTGAGTCCACCACCCCAGGGCAGCTCTCCACCCAGGGACTGGGTCAGCAAAGAAACGCTCACCCAGCCGTCCTCCAGGGGGCGATGCTGAGGTGCTCTGAACCAGGCTTCCCAGAACCCCCTGGTCTGTGCCCCAGGTGTGCACGCTGACCCTCTTCACGCTGACGCCTTTTCTTCCTTCCCTGCTGCATCTCCCCCTCCTTCAGCGGTGCTTCCGGGGATCACCCCAATAAACTGTTGCACCCCAGCCCAGTCCAGGGCTAACTTTGGGGGAACCATGGTCAAACACGGAGCGTCTGGCATCTGTGGGTGTGAGACCCCGGTGAGATGGGGGTCCCAGAGCATTTCCCTCAAAACCCCCCAATCCTTCTGGCCTCCTAGACAGCCTGGTGCCCTAAGTCACCTTTCTGATCAAACTGGTCGGAGGGGTCTGCTGTCAGCATCCAAACTCTGAAAATGCAGAAGGGGACAGAGACTTGGGAGGGAAGGACAGGCCTGGCTGGGTGGACTTGGGGTGAGGGGGAGGGAGCCATCAAGGCATTCACTCGAGCATTCAAGCGTTTATTAGCAAAGGGGACAGAAGGGACCAAGCCTGACTCAGCAAAGGCTTGGCCTGGGTGTCCCCAGCCCTGGGCAGTGTGACAGCTCCATGGGCTCAGGCTGGCTGCAGGAGCGGGGGTGCCCAGAGCAGAGCCAGCAGCAGCAGCAGCGAGGAGGGGTCTGTCCCTGGCAGCCCGCAGCCCATCAGCCTCTGGATCCAGTGGAAATGCTTGCTGACGTTGGTGTAGATGCCGGGCCGGTTCGGGTGACCGCAGCCCACACCCCAGCTCACAACTCCGATCTGATACCACACGCTGTCCACTTCACAGACCAAGGGTCCACCCGAGTCACCCTGGGGAGCAGTTTGTGTGAGCCCGGATGGGGGTGCCGTGGGGCAGTGCAGAACTAGAGGAGAGGCCGGAGAGCAGGGGGCTGTGCAGCTGGGCCACCAGCTGAAGCGACCGAGCCTCAGTTTCTGCATCTGCAAAGTGGGCAACAGCCCCTACCTCCCAGGGCTGGCGTGAAGTTCAGTTCGTGGGAAACCAGGGGCAGGTGGTACACTCTGGCTCAGTAATAATAATAACTTGTAGGGCAGGGGTAGGGCAGGGGATTGGGATGTCGGGGCTCAGAGGCCCTGGTGAGAAAGGGGGACACTCACAAAGCAGGTGTCTTTGCCACCTTCTGGCTTGTGAGCGCAAACCATGTCTCCCCAGATGTTCTGGTGGAAATCAGCCCCTCCCAGGGCTGCTGTGAGGATTACATGAGGTAAGATCATGGTGCACGGCGGGCGGGCAGGGGTGGCAGGGAAAGCGGCGCTACTTGCTCAGTCATTGAGACACTGGAGGACTCCCCAGACTATCGTCCTGAGATTCTACTCTTAAACCTTGAACCGAAACTAACCCCTGAGGTCACCTTTGAGCTAAATAACAGACTGGCTCACAAAACAAAGAACGTCACCCATGAGTACTGTGCTCCTTTAAAAAATCACCTACACGAGACCAAACGGTTAACAATGACTTTAAAACAAAGATGAGAAGGTAAGGAGGCAGGGAAACTAGATTAATGGAAACAGAACAACCAGAAAAGAAAGAATGAGAATGTTCACACACTGTGAAGAACGTAACCAATGTCACTGAACAGCTTCTGTAGGAACTGTTGATTGGGAACCTAACCTGCTGTGTAAACCTTCACGAAAATCACAATAAAATATTATTTAAATAAATAAGGGCTGTAGGTGTTTTCTCATGAAAACTCTGGGGGTCAGTAAGGGGGAAAGTGGGGGTGCATCTCAGGCCTGGCTTGGGGTGCTTGGTGGGGGTACTCACGTTGCAGGCATCTTTGCTGCCATCCTCGGTGCCTGCACAAACCATGTCTCCCCAGATTATAGAGCGGAAATCGGGCTGTTGGTATAGGTGGTTACACATGGTGTTGTTTATGATGGAGATCTGTACTTCCTGCAGGTTATACGGAGGCTCCAGCTCTGCTCGGGGTGGGGGTGGGGGGCAGGAGACGAAGAGAGATGGTCAGCTGAGACTCAGGCTGCAGGGCGGGCTGCGGGGCACCCACAGGGCCTGGGACGGGGCTCTCGTCCCCAACTCTCGCCAGCACCAGCATCTCCGGGGGCTCAGCAACATCACAGGACCCCCAAGAGGGTGGGCAGGCTGTTCCAGCGCCGCCTGAGACTCGGTTTCCTAATCTGTAAATACGAGGATGGCCCGTGCGTGAGACAGTTGGGGAGCTCCTGGCCAAACAGTGCACGGGGAGGGGCCACACGCTGGCTTGTGGAGGATGGTAAGGTCTGGCTGCAGGGTCCGGGCCCAGGACGACAGAGTGCGGCTGGCTGTGCCCCTGGGCCTGCACCCACTCACCCTGCAGCAGGAGCACTTTATGCAGCTCCTGCCAACTCTAGATGGAGGTGGATTTCCCAAGGAGCCCTCCCTCTTCCAATGCCAGGTGTGTGACCTCGGGGACGTCTCTCCCCTCTCTGGGCCAAGGAGACCTGGCTTCTCCTCTATTTACTAGCTCTGGGGCCTTGGGCACTTCCCATAGCTCTCTAAATCTCAATTTCAGCATCTATAAAATGGGTATAAAAACATTCCCAGCCCAGCCTCATTCTACAGTGAGTTCCGAGAGGAGCAGAGACTTGGCTTTGCTCACTCCTGGGTCCCAGAGCCCAGAACTGTGCCTGGCACAAGATGTGCAGGCAAGGATCGATCTGTTGTCATTATTGTCATTATAGGGAGACACAGGGATGGGCCAGCCCCAGGAGTAGGGGGGAGGGGCACTGCAGGCAAAGGGACTGTGCCCATCTGGGGCCACAGGCCCTGGGGCACTTTGGGGATTTTAGGTGAGAGATGAGCAGGTGCCAGGTCCCTGCCAGCCTGGGGGGCGGTCCCCAAGGACCCACCTCGGGCTTCAGTGGGGAGCCCAGGGTGGAGGAGGATGGCTTGGATCAGGAGGATGGAGCAATGGGCTCAGCCCTCCAGGGGAGCTGATGTGAACTAGGACAGACACAGAGGGCAGGGGGCAACTGGGGGTGCTGGGGAACGAGGGGCACCCCGAACTTAAGTGCAACGAATGCATGGAAAAACGAACACTTGCAGCTACACCTACAGGCCCCCCGAAAGGCCCCATCCTTGCATTTACAGAGAGAGAACCAGGCCGGGGTGCAGGCCTGGGCCGAGCTGGCCGCCCTCTCCAACACACGCTACCGGCCACATAGCCGGCCGGGAGCGGGAATGGAGTTTGGTCCAGAAAATCCTGCACGTGCGGGTGGGGGGAGAGCAGAGCGGCAGGTGAGGGGAGAACGCCGGGCGGGTCAGCATGGGCCCCAGAGGGTGAACAAGTGGACGCGGACAGTGCCCTCCCCGAAACCCGCCTGTCCCCCAGCCTCACCCTTCTGCTCCTGGATCCTCCCCCAGCCGGTCACCCAGCAGTCAGTCCGGTTCTGGAACTCCACGGTGGAGTCCACAACACAGACGGGCTGGACGTACTTCTTGTAGGTGACAGAGGAGGACAGCTTCAACAGGGCGATGTCGTGGGGTGACTGCCCTTCAAAGTTGGGGTTCATCACGATCTTCTCCACCTGGTAACGGTTGTAGTAGGCCCGCATGCTCAGGGAAGATGGCTGGGAAGTCCGCTCGCCAAACTGGATGCTCCAGTCCAAGGGATCCATGGACCTGGCAGGGCGGAGGGCGCAGTCAGGGGACTGGGGAGGAGGCACCTGAGCTCCCCTGGGCCTCTCCACCGGAGGGAGGGAAAACCCTGGGGTTGCCACTACCTGCTCGTCCTGTGCCTGCGAGCCACCCTTAGCTTTGGTTCTACTCCAAGGCCAAAGGGTCCGCTGTGGGAATGACAGGGGCCCACAGAGGCCACACCCAATTCAGAGCCTGGGGCTGTGGGGGCGGGGCAGGAGGGTGGGCGCCTCCCGCAGCCAGTCACTCAGACAGTCTCAGCCTCAAAGAGCCCTCTGGGCCACCTACCCTGGGGTGAGTCCACCAGGGGACCCCAATGTGGGGCGCTCACCAGGCTGGGTCAAAGCAGCGTTCCTCGCACCTCAGGTAACTCCTCCCACACCCGTGGTGCAGGTGCCGTGGGGTGGAATGCGTGAGGAAAAGGATGGTGGTGCCATTTGTTTAAAACTAAAAGGACAATGGGAACACGTGCAGGTGGAACCGACCGCAGCCAGGCCTGGGGCTCGGAAGACACTGGGGCCGTGTCCACGTGCAACCTGCGGAGCGCCGGCCCGGGAGTTGGCGGCCCCAGCGTGCGTCCGCCCAGACTCACTTTTTGAAGCAGTGCGCTGCTGTGAGCGCCCAGCGGCGGCTGAGCAGGCTGGCCCCGCACAGGTGGCTTCTGTGCAAGCGCAGGCTGCCCTGCCACGGCCAGTTCCCCCGCTTCGCGTCCTGGCCTCCCACCACGCGCTCGTGGATGTTCCGGAGACCGCAGGGTGCTGGGATGGACAGACGGACACGCGGCTGAGCAGTGGGGACAGGCCAGCCCGCCGCCACCTCCCGGGGCCACGGAGGCGGACAGTGATGCGTGACCACCCGCCCCCGCCCCCGTGATCCGCAGGCCCGCCCCTCCCCTGGGCCCATCACCTACTCGTGAGCACGTTCCACTTCGCGGCACCTGGGGGACAGGGAGAGACAAGAAAGGTGAGGCGCCCTCACGCCGGCCCAGGTGCCCTGCACCGCGAAGCGCGCTTCCTGGGCCCTTACCTGGATTCAGGGACCTTAGGTCCCCATCCGGCGACCCTGGGGGGAGTTGAGCAGGTAAGTCCCCCTGGGTCCTCACGCCCCGCCCCAACTCCCCCAGCCCCCCGAGCCCGGCCCGGGACAACAGCAGCCACAGCAGCAGCGCGCCCATGGCCTCCTCTCCGCGCCTGGCGCCCCCCTCCGCTTCCTCCTGCGCCGGTCCCGCTGGGGCGCCCCCTGGGGGCGAGGGCGGGAGCAGGAGCCCTGGCCCCCCACCCCTC